GAAAATCAGAGATTGCTCCAAAAGACCCCAAAACAAATGAACAGGAATGCCAAAAGGAGAAAACAGAAGAGAAAGCGACAAAATTAAAACAAACAAACAAACAAAATAACTAGTCTAGAAGTGAAAAACATGAAATTATACTGGATTGATTATAAAGCCTACAAAGTGTCCAGCACAGGAATTTTTAAAAAGCCACCCCAGGGCATTTCACTGCAAAAGTTTTTAAGAATAGGATAGTGAAAACAGTTAAAGTTTCCAAAGAACAAAGAATCAGAACAGATGAAGTTCAGAATTTTGAACCTCTCATTGTCAAAAAATAAAAGGAAAACATAAGAAAATTTCCGAGAAAACTGCTTTCCAACATGGAGATCTATGTTATATCAGTTTCCTGTGGTTGCCATACAAGTTACCACAAATAAGGTAGCTTCAGCAACAGCAACTGACTCTCTCAAAGTTCTGGAGGCCAGAAGTCCATAATCTGGCAAGGTCTCATTCCCTCTGGGGGCAATCCGTTTCTGGTAGATGCCGGTATTCTTTGACTTATAGCTGTACACTCCCTCCTATGCCTTCTGTCTAAGCAGTCTTGTCACTGGACTTAGGGCCCACCTTAATTTAGGATTACCTTGTCATGATAAGATCATTAACTTAATTGCATCTGCAAAAACCTTTATTCCGATAAGGGACACTCACAGGTTCAAGAAATTAAGACTTGAGCATATTATGAAAGCCATATATCAGGCAAGCACACCAATAAAAAAATAAGAATACCTATGCTCTTTCCCAGAAAGCTACTAATAACTCTGCCATCATCAAAATGCAGAAAGCCAAGAGAAAAGATAAAAAGACATTTAGTCTAAAAAGCAGAGGTTACCAAACAGGACAGAGGCAAGATATATTTCCAGGACAGATAAAGCAATACCGCAAAAAGACTGCACGTAGCAGATAAAGAACTAGTTTAGATTGTAGCAATATGACTATTGAGAAGGGGTTAAAGGTCCTTTTGAAGAGTGTGGAGAGACTTTGGTGTATCAAAAATAAGAAAAAAGAGGCAAGTGTCAACTCTAGGAAAATAAAAATTTTAAGAAAGTAAGTAGAATATTATTATTGTATACTATTTTGCTCAGCAGTATTTACCTTGAATATTTAGTCAAAAATCTAAATATACTATGTTGGAAAGACAGACTGTGAAGAGATGTGAGAGTGAAGAGAACAATACTACTTATCTTCCAAAAAAGATAACACTTAGTATTGAAAAAGAAATAGTGTAAATGTTATTTAAGATCTGGGGGGAAATACTATAAGAAAGACCAAAGAGTTGAAAATGGCTACCTTGAGGGCAAAACAAGGTGTAGAGAGGAAGTGGAACGGCAATGGTTATTTTATTCAATCATAAGTTTACTTCTGATATTGTGCGTCTACTGTTTTGTTTTGATTTTTTAAAAAAATTAAGATTCTAATGCAGACAAAAACAAAGATTCAGAGAAAAACTACTTGTTCAGGCCTCTAACAGTTAAAAACCATTTGTCACAATGTCTCAGTTTCTAATACTTTGAAGAAATATAGAATTTCTATGAAAATTCTTGAAGTCAATGTTCTTTAAAACAGAGTCAAGTCATGTGGTCATTAGGAGAAAAAAACAACAATGCCAAAACCACTCCTCAAGTATGTTGACTACAATGGACTCAATCTCTATAATTTGTACTATATTATCATAATTCTATACCAATTTACTTTAAAACTCCTGCTCTTTTGTGTTATTGTACATAAGGCTTTAATGTCAACCATGAATAACATATATAACTGGGAAAAGGAACTGAAATAATCACCATGAAAGTGTTTTCAAATTGGTATACTAATAGCTACCAGTAAGTCCAGGTTGTAAGGTGGGTGGATTCTAATTTTAGAGATTTCACAAAATTAGGAATACTAGATTTAAAAAAAATCTGGGTCTGAATACCACTACAGCCCAGGGAAGAAACAAGTGACAACCCTGAGTTCTTTTCTTACACTGTGTGTGTAATAGCAAAGGGTATAATAGCTATGGGAGCTAGAAAAAGGTAAAATATAAGGAAAAAAAGGCAAATGTGATTCTCCACTTACTTAATTTCTTCCTTTATCCACTACAATAATCTATGATTCATTTGTGATAGCACTGTGGCATACTCAAACTACATCTACCTTTGCCTTCCCTCCTTTTCCTCAACTGCCTCAAAACTCCATCTATTTCAAGTAACATACATAAATTTACTGATCTATGCTCTTAAATGAAGGTTACCACAGTTACTTTGATGCCTCCCACAGAAGTAGCCACTTAATTTACATTTTATTGTACCTGATATCAGCATGTAGTCTAGACATACTAATCTAGAATCTGTATGCTGTCAAATTTATCTTGTTTACTTACTTGTAGTCATTTGTCTATCTTAATTATAAGACTATAAAAAACACAAAGGTAGTACCTTTACAAATAAGCACTTAATAAATATCTTTATGGCAATAACTGATCCAATCACAAACAGTATAGTACTTTCACAGCTATTCAGATTCAAGCTCAAGTAGAATTTTTTTTTTTTGAGTCTGTCACCCAGACTGGAGTGCAGTGGCCGCTCCCGCCCACTGCAGCCTCGACCTGCTGGGCTCCGGCGATCCTTCCCCCTCAGTCTTCCAAGTAGTGCGCACTACCACACCCGGCAATTTTTTGATTTATTGTAGAGATAAGGTCTCACCAAGTTGCCCAGGCAAATCTCAAACCCACAGGCTCAGGCAATCCATTCACCTCAGCCTCCCAAGGCGTGGGATTACAGCTGAGCCAATTGAGCCTGGCTAGAATTTTTTTAAAAGGAGCCTGTTTTTATACAAATATGAAAACAATCATTTTTAAAAGAAAGAAATGTGTCAGGGTACTGGTGGCATGGGACAGGTAGTTCTAGAAACAAATTTCTTTTAGAGAAAAACCACTTTGGTTTGAGTCTCAAGCAATTTTTGACCTTGTCCCAGATTAATATTATGCCTGTGATCAATGAAGTAGAAAAAAAGGAAGTCAAGGGCAAGTACAAATGGTTAAGAAAATGAAATGTCATTGGAAAGAATTTGTCGTGTCTTTTCATAACTCATGAAAGAAATAACCCCAAATCAAAAATAAATGCTTCTATAAACAGTTATTTTGAAACCAACAGGAAAAAGAGTCTTTACTTTCCTTCTTCCCACTAGTTCTCTCCCATCCAATGCTGCTGAATCTTTCTCCAATTCTTACAATAAAATGTTTACTAGCAAGAATAAAGTCCATTAAGGCTTTTTAACTAAAAAATATAAATCCTCAAACATAGTGTTCATGTATTTATAACTACTTCTGATAGGCATTTAGCAGCACTAGTGAGAATCATTATCATATAAATATACAATTTGTGTCTTTTGCTATTCAAGACACAGACAAATAAATTAGAAAACTTATGTCATAATTAGGTAAAGTGGCAAGTTAACCAAGAACTTAAAAGAGACTTCAACCCAGCCATTGCTAGGCCATTGCCACTGTCATTGCTAGGCCATTGCCATGGCCATTGCCTTGCTAAGCTATGATGTGGCCATGTGCTCTTTGAGCTATGGTCAGGCCACATTTCCTATCTTTGGTCTCCTCCCCTACCTTGGGGAGGTAAATCTCCTCTTTCTCTAATTTACTCTAAATAAACCATATTTTCTAAACTAAAAAAAATACTTCAGCCCTAGCCTAGCATGAGATTCTTAAATGCTCTTCTTGCCAGGGTTTCAATTGTTTTCTCAAAGCACAAACAACAAATATATGACAGAAGCTCTTACATTCTAATTAAAGCACCTTTTGTTGGCAATAGACGTCAAGTCATCAAACACAACTAAGTACTTTGCTTTAATTAAACCAACCAAACAAACAAAAATCCAGTCCTTAAGAGATTAAAGCACATTTCAAAACCTGTCATCAGGTAAATTCAAAAGGAAGGTGTTAAGATCCACAGTCAAAACGGCTGGAAAAGCAAAAGTTATCATGCCAAAGCAAAGTATTTATGATCTTCATCTCCCTACCAGCCAAACATCACTAAAGCTGCTCAACACAGGAATGCCTTTCTACCATTATTTCTTAAAGCTCTGACTTTTCTTTGTATTTTACAAGTTACGTACCATCCCAATTACTTCTGTGGATAAAAGTATCCAGCTAAAGCTGTGGTCCTCACTTAGGCTTCTATTCTCCAAATGCACAAATGATTCAGATAGGAGAGAAGCAAGCTCTATCTCTAAAACATTTATCTGAATCTAGCTGGGTACGGAGGCTCATGTCCGTAATCCCAGCATTTTGGGAAGCCAAGGCAGGAAGACTGCTTGAGCCTAGGAGTTCAAGACCAGCCTGGACGACATAGCTAAACCTTGTCTCTATTTAAATGTGGGGTGTGTGTGTGTGTGTGTGTGTGTACATATAAAATATTAAAAACAAACAAAAATTTATCTGAATCTATTTGGTTCCTGAGTTCTAACAGTAGGTATAACTGGCAACTTCCATACTGAGTAAATAATCATGAAACTAAAGAATACAAACTTTTAAATCAGGCTTTGGGCATGTAGAAATTTTAATAAAACCTGGGGAAAAAAAAACCCTGCAATTCTATGGTATGCTTTTTCATCTCAAACTCTTTAGTTTAGAGCTTAAAAGTCTAATAACGCCGGGCTCAGCTTGTAATCCCACACCTTTGGGAGGCTGAGGTGAGTGGATTGCCTGAGCCCGCGGGTTCGAGACCCGCCTGGGCAGCGAGACCTCATCTCTACAATAAATCAAAAAATCAGCCACGCATGGTAGCGCATGCCTGTAATTCCGGCTACTCGGAAGGCTGAGGCGGAAGGATCGCCAAAGCCCAGCAGGCGAGGCTGCGGTGGCCGGGAGCGGGCCACTGCACTCCAGTCTGGGCAACAGAGTGAGACTCTAACTCAAAAAAAAAAAAAAAAGTCTAATAACACTGAACCCCACACAAAAGTCTTACCCGTTTGGTTTTTGGACTCTTTGCAGTAGAACTTGTCTCATTTGTACTTCCATCCATTCCTCTCAAAACGCTAATGAAATCTTTCTTGGAAACAGTTGATATCAACTTAGCACGCTTTCTAATAGAGCTTCCAGCTTCTTTAACTTTTTCATCAACGTTCTTTTGATGTTTCTGAACAGCATTAAATAATTGTACCACACCCCTATAGAATATAAAATGACCAGAACAATATTGTTAAATAACAACTACGTTAGAATACAAACTCTGTGAGGACAGAAACAATGAATTTTCACTGCCTAGAAAAGAGGCAAGCACTTAATAGGGACTGAAATGAAAGAGTTGGATAACTGATTAAATATATCTAAAAAGTGAACATACATTTCAATGAATGAATATAAAATTCAAATAAATAATAAGTGTAGATTAGTATATAATTTTACATTTAACTCTAGGAAGGATTTTCTGGATCTCAGTTTCATCTGTAAATTAGAAAAATAATACCTAAGTAATTTCAAAAGTATTCAGCTATATTTTCTGCAACTCCTGTATTATGGAAGTAATTTTTAAATTCTACTTTTAAAAATATTTTAAAAACTTCGTTCTGTAGTTATTTAAGTTCATTCAAAGACAAATTCTGGAGACTAAGTTCTGCAGTATCCAATCCGGGAGTCTAAAGCCACATGTGGCTAGAGAGCACTTGAAATCTGGCTAGTCACAACTGCCATGTGCTGTAAACGAAGACACTGAATTTCAAAGTATTAGTATAAAAAATAGAATTTTTGAATATCATTAATAATTATTTTATACTGACATGTTGAAATACTTTGAATATACTGAGTTAAATAAAATATGTTATTGAAATTAACTTCACCTCTTTTTCAATGTCTTACAAAAACATTTTAAATTGCATACATAGCTCACATTCTATTTTTACTTGACATTGCTGATTTATACCATTAAGGCCCCTTCCAATTCTAAAATTCTATAATCTACAAATTCTTTTGCTATGGTAATTAATGGAAGAGGACATCCACCATAGGCCATAAGCATCCTCGCACATTCTTAATGGATTTTTCAAGAATGAAAGGCCCTGACTGCTCTTTACCCAAGTCATCTTTCAGGGTTGTGTTTGCAGTAAGCAACCTTGAGGGATAAGGTAATGTCTCCCCCCACACAAAGCAGGCTTGTTATCAATCACTATAAAAGCGATATATCCCCAAGCACAGAGTTCTTCCCCTGTAACATAATCTATTGTACATGCAGGCATCCATCTAGGGCACCTGCACTCCTCCTCTGGGACAAAGGGAGACAGTGGGAACTTGATGCTTTACTACTGCTTTTGCCATGAGTAATAAAGTCCTTAGTCTTTGATCCAGAAGTCTCTTTGTCTTTTACCAGCATCCAAGAAACTCTGACAGACTGGCTTATTAGCTTACACAGAGAAAAAAATTCCAGACCCTTTGCAGTAGTGTCAGGACCAGGGTGAGACAAGTGAGGTAGCTAAGGGTACAAAATTTAAGGAGGCACTCACTCACGCTCATATACTGACCCTGTACTTTTCCATGTTCTTAATATGTATTAATTCATTTAATTCTCAGAGAAACCCTATAGACTAGGCATATTATCTTCTTTCTACTGATAAACTGAGACAGAGAAAAATAAAGTAACATGCCCAAGTCAGTGCTAGGATTTGAACCTAGTAGTCTGGCCCTCTGCATAACAACTAGATGGATTAGAAAATAAAATAATTTAGGTAGCTAAGAATTTAAAAGTAATTCCACTAAATATAACTGCTACATTCTTTACATAGCACCTAAATGTTATCTCCTCTATAATGCCTTCCCAAACATCTCCAGATAATCTCCTGTTGTATGTTCCTAACACATAGGACATACTTCTATTCTCAAAAAGACCATAATTCCTACAGATCAGTGGGCAAGGACCACCCAGCCACCACCATATTCTATATATCTTTGGACATGGAAGGCATCAAGTAAATGTTTAGTGCTGATGATTTAAAAAAAAAAAAGGAGAGTGAAAGGATAGCATGAAGCTGCTATGATGTTAATATATTATGCCATAAATATAATACAAGATAACAAAAATCATCACTGAGTGCCATAAATTTTAGACAGCCATCATAAGAGAAATGCAGTAAGAGGTCTGATGACACAGTTCTAGTGACTATAAAAACAAGATGATCTGAAATAGGTTTATACCAAATATACACTTAGCAACTATATTCTTACCTCACGAGAGTTGAAAAATCTTTGGTTGAATTCAGTGTTGAACAGGCAAGCTTAAATATATATCACTTGGCTCTGAAATGGCTGAGCTTATGAGTAAAACATGGTCAAAAACAGATCACTATCAAAGCTTTCTTATTTTCTAAAGGGCAAAACCCCTGCCTTACCTCGTTGCAATTCTCTGAAGATTTCTCTCTGTCTCTTTGTCTTGGACAACATCTGGCTTTACTCTGTGCATCATTTCCCACTCCAGCCTCTTATCACGCTGTTATAAATATTGTTATGTGAAAGAATATTAGTTATTTTTGAAAGTGCAGCAAACATTGGTAAGATACTCTGTGAAAGGACAAAGGTAATAAATCATTCTGGCTTAGTGTGTCATAGAGACTTTTAAAAACCCCACAATTTTAGGGGCTTAACTCAGGGAGCCTGTGGTTAACGCTCAGTGTGTCATGTGAGAGGCACAAAGTGAGTTCCTGTCAGGTCTTCTGACAGTAGGGACCTGGCGAGTTGCCAGCACATTCAGCTGGGCAGTACAAGGTCGTGTGTGAGTGGCACATGCCTACTCTGCCATCGGACCATCATAAAGAAGATAAAGAAGATCCCAAACTACTCTCACAACCACAAGTTTAAACATGCTTTATCTTTACTTTCAGGAACTGACTTCTCCAGCAGTCAGACTTATTAAGAAACTGTATCAGCTTTTAAAATAAGAGCATCAGATCCAGATATTTATACATGACTGTTTTTCTTTGCACAAAATCATTTAAATCCATTTCTCTTCTTGCGGCATATCTGACCAGTATTCTTGCTACATATGGTGTATCAGTTGCAACCTCTCACAAATTGAGTCTCTGCTATTGTGCAGCAGTAGAAGGAAAAGCTGGGAAATAAGAAGAATCTCAGACAACATAATTTAGTTCAAAATAGTCTGGGAGTAGTATAATGGTCACAGGAAGCTGATTTGACAGAGCACTTGTTCAGGTCTCCTTCTCAGGCCAACCTTTCACCAAATAGCCAACATCATAATATGAACTAAGAAGCCAGCAGACATCGAAACCAGTCATAAAAACAAATGAGAAAAACGGCTCCTTCCTTTCTCTCTTCCTTTTCTCCACTCATCTCTCTCTCATTTTGTATTAATGAAAAAGTCTAATTACAGTAAAACTAAACGCCTGCTCTCACTATAAAGAGTAGCCTGATTCCTTTCTACTCTAAAGAAGCAGATTCGTCTTCAAATCAGATGTTTCAATTTAGTGGCCACGAAATTCACTGTCAGATTATGCCAGAAACTTAAAAATCTTAAAAGTAAGTTTAAAACAGTAAATTCTTACTTATCTCCATGACTGTATCTCCAAGGATAATAGGTATTCTTAATCCCAAAACATTTTTAACTTTAAAACTTATTTTTGTATTTATGATTAGAAATAAGTAGCTGATATAGTGGAAATCCAGAATAGGTGACATTAAGAAATACCTATAATTTACATACACTCTGCTAAGAAATATACACAAAGAGCATTTGTAGCTGTTGTGCTGTGTTTCTGATATCAACCCGTGATTCCATGCTTTATGTGGGCAGTGTTATCTCCAGCACTCAAAGCTTTGGCCTAGAGCAGAGTTACAGACTCATTCCTCTTGGCTTCAGAATATTGTTCTTACCTTCACTGGAACTTAGAGATGAGAGATAATTAAAGATTCTAATTATTTTTAAAGCTTCTTCTCACTTTTGCCAGGTAATAAACAAAGATTCAAATTTTAAGTTGAAAAGCTATCTATAGGATTTAGAGACAAGTTATCTTAAAGTATGATGAGAATATTGGATTAACAATAGAGTATGTTGTGTTTCTAAGAGGAATGCTTGAAAATCTCCACCTTTCACACAGAGCAATCAGTATTAAGAACAAAGAAAACATTAATCTTGAAACAAGATAAGGGAAACATAAAAGGAAATATATGCCAATGCAAACCTATTTTTCTTTCATTTTTACCTATAAAGTGCCTTTGGGAATTTGTACTTTTATATTGTCAGTATGCTTGTAGAAAGTTATTTTTCTTTCATTAAAAAATAATACTTATTTTAGGCATAGAGATCATCAAGTACAAGGGATGTAAAAGCATTATCATTTTTTAATTTTATAATACAAAACAAATTTATGTTCAATTTTTAGCCTTTAATTAAAAGATGATACTAGTCTTACTTCTATCATCAGTAGTTGAACAAGCATAATTAATTCAGGTTTATTCAACACTGATTTGAATCTAACACTGAAATAATCAGTTTTCAGAACTGCAACCAACCCTTAACTTGTGACATCTGACATTTATATTATGAGCTTCTAGCAAAAAAGTAACTAACATGCTTCTATTAGTTCAGAACCTATTAAAGTCAGCATACAGAGACAGTTAAAATGAATAGAACATTTAGACCTAGGAGTCACTGCCACATATATAATTACTTGATTTTTAAAAGATAAATTTCTTTGGGGATTACATTTCTATTACTTTGCCTAGATAATCACCAAGTGAACATGCTCAATGAAGTAATTTAGACAAAATTTCTGAACATAACCTTGGTTACCTACTCCTATACAAAAAACAAGTAAAAACTGAAATGTTAACTGGACAAACACTGCAAGGAACGGTTTGGTAAAGATAAGAACTAGACAATCTAATCTACAAGACAACTGGTAGGACACACCTGTTTTCTTTTCTCTATTCTTTCTTGTTTTAACTTTTCTTTTTCCTTCTCCAGCTCTTTATTTTTTACCAGAATGGTGGATTTACTTTCAGGAGTTTTTTTGTTAAGGATTTTAGCCATGGCATCTGCCCAGCCTGTATTAGTCCCAACACTTGATTCTGCGGCATTTTTATTTTCTATGTCATAGGGCTCAGCATCATCTTCATTGTCAGCCTCTATTGCTTCATCATCAGAAGAAAAGTAATCCTTTTCCAATCCACAGCTTCCTATAGAACCTAAGAGTAAAAACAAATTAAATTTTAACATCCTAGGTAAAGGTTGCCAAGACCACAGCCAGAGCCCTGGAACACTTCAAGAAGGGTCTTGTAATGGGGGACTGTCCAAGTCCCACAGCTGCAGTAATGATGGAGAACAACAGGAACATCTATCCCATAGCCATCAGCGACCAAAAAACTAGCACAGTCATAACAACAGAGAGAGCTACAGTTGCTTTAAGATCTAGGACCTGACTAGGTGCAGTGGCTCACACCTGTAATCTCAGAACTTTGGAAGACTGAGGCAGGAGGAGGGCTTAAGGCCAGGAGTTCAAGACCAGTCTGGCAACATAGCAAGACCTTGTCTGTACAAAAAATAAAAATAGAAAACCCTACAGGTAACAGAAACAGATCCAACAGCCTCCATCAGATCCCTGTTGTCAAGGAGGTGACAGATGCTAGCATGTGACCCGTGCAGGCTGCATTCAAATATGTAGACCTTAATTGTGTCATTAAACTAATTGAAGAGACTAATGAAGACTGCAAAAATAACAGAAAACTAATCTATTTCATTTGAAATAATTTGCATATAATTTCTATTGAGCATTTAATATTTTGGGGGAAATTATCTAATGGTGTGCCCTAGATACCACAGATACAATTGCACTGCTGGATAACTGAATGAATATACTAAGTTCTGAGTTGAAGACACAGATTTGTAAAACTGTTGGATTTTTCATGCAGAACCACCAAGAAAAGCCCATACCAGTTACCAGCAAACTAGTTCATCATTTAAATTCAAAGGACTGGGGTCAGCAGATTGTCAGAACAGTCCAGCCAATGGTTTTGCTTGAAAATCAACTTGCTGAGCAGCTCTTAGGCTTCTGCAGCCTTTCTCAACTTCTGAAGTTAACTGTACTTTAACAAGGAGAACACAAGCAGCCTGTGTAGTCTGTAGGAGTCTATAAGATCCAGAGCTCTCGGAAAGTTTCTGTTCTTCAGAAACCTATGGAACTTACCAGGAAATTATCCAACGGGGAAAAATCAACCACAGCTTGTAACTTGGAGTATTTATTAATAAACAGAAGAAGAGGTAACAAAGAAAGCTGAGAAGAAGTTAACAAAGAAGAAAAACTCAGTGATATACAAACAGCTGCCAATTAGCAGTGAGGTCTCCAGGTAACAAATATGGTTTCTGTGATTGACTCCAGAACTAGTTCAAACTCAAAAGATTATCATAGAAAATGCCATTACCTGAAATTTGTCCTATCAAAATACCTCTACTAAGTAATGATATCTGTCATTTAATTAATCTTTTAAATACTGATATACTTGCATTTAAGTATTATTATTATTCTTTAAAGTAACACCAACAGAAGAAGGAAAAGACCTAGGCATAAGCAGGTTTCCTGCTGCTTCCTATTTAATTCAATTCTGATCCTCCCATCCAAAGCAGAATCTTCGCTTAAAATGTAGAGGACTGAGCAGTGTTTTGTAATTTTCATACTGTATCCCACAAAACCATAATAAAAAATACTGATTAATGAAAAAAATGTAGAGGACTGAAAAACCATCCCAGGCCTGAAAGCACTGATGAACTGCAGTGCTTTTACCCAGTGAGTCTATTTACCTTTTCCAAAGCTAGGCATCAGAACCACAACCACTGCTTCTATTTTTTGGAGAAGACTGCTGATTGACTCTTTTTACTTCAAAATTCATCAACTCCACACCTGTTTCTTCTTTTAATGATTTCAACAAACTGTGCATAATTTGCCTTTACAGATCCTCTCAGACTTTTGCTATGACCAAAGTGAATGGAAGAGAATGCACAGTCAGTTATTACCTTGAGTGATTCCATCTCTCTCTTAAGCTTTTAATTTAGATACATTTCTTAAAAGCAAATACTGGGGGCAATAATAAAGTTTACTCAATTCAATGAAAAGATTGAATTTTTCTTTTATTCTGGGGCCACAAAATTTTCCCTAGTGTTCCCTGGAAAGTACATTGAAAAACAAAGTTTAGAGCATGCAGTTAACTGAAAAATAAAAATATTGTATTAATATTATATGTGTTATTCTTCAGAGTCAGTATTACCCAGATGCTATTAACAAAATAAACAATTCTTAGAAAAAAATGTTTCCTCTAGTAAGCATTTATCTAAATGTAAAGAGGCAAGATGATTAAATGCAGAAAAATCTTTACCACCTCCTGGTAAAATGTCAAAACTACAACACTGACATCTAGTGTTTTGCCCTGATGCACTAATACATCAACTGCGGCGGATTTCACGTTTTTCAACAGCACTGTTAAAGGCAGCCAAAACACTTTATAATTGTGTAAGCCACTCCAATTCTCCACTTCAAAACCTTGGCTATTTTTCTTTGGTGCATTTCTTACCCAGCGTGACTACCACAACATGCACAACATTATGGACACGAAATAAATCCAAGAAAAGTTTTATAGCACCATTTTAAGCAACCCTCACTCACTCCATCAGTTGAAAATAAAAAATTCCAGAAGAATTCCCTAAAGTCACGGTTTTTATTTTATTATTTTTCTAAAGAAGTTCTAGTTGAGAAGTTTTTAGTCAGGCATTTGCTGCCAATGGAAATGACGACGTTTAATATAAATAAATTAAAAATGCCAATGCAATGAGGTCTCATAGCATACTTTAAAAAAAAAAAAAACGGGATTTACTTCTAGGACACCAAAGATTATCACTATGCAAATCAGAAAGTAAATCTGGTTCTTAAAAATTTACTGTTTCTTACTAAAATGAGATTTTTCAAGTTTTCCGCAGAAGTTAAGGTCTAAGGACATAGATGGAAATCACCAGACAAGTGAAAAATTATTTGAAGTCTCGGGTGTTATCTTAAACGTTAACTTTGCTTTCTAATAAAAATCTGTAAATTAAGGAAGGGCTGCAAAGGATATTTACTGAAGGACTAAAAGTTCCAATCATAGTAATGTTCTCTACTGAGCCTCCCAGTAGCCACCAGCAACAAGGGGCTATCGAGCACTTCAAAGTGGTTAGCATGACTGAGGAACTGAATTTGTAGTTAATTTTAATTACCTTAAATTTAAATGACCACGTGTGGCTAGTGGCTACCATACTGGACAAAGCAGGGTTAGATATCTGAGGCACTGATGTAGACATAAGGAATTTTTCATTTCCTGCTGTCTTTTTCTCCAAACCACCAGCCCCCTTTCAAACTTACCATCTGCCCCTGACCCCAGTTATGTAAGATTAGCTACTAGCAGAAAAGTGAGGTACTTTCCTTAGCCTTTGGAACTAGAATACAGTTTTAAGAAGATTCACAGTCCCTCAACATTTACTGAACACCCATGAATGATGGGCAAAGAAGGAAAAAATGAAAAATCGAAATCTAGGTTTCCCTCTCTAAAGAACTCAAGAGTTTAGTAGGGTAGATAAATCATATAGCCAATTGCAATAAAATTTATAAGTGTTCTTAAAGAAAAGTAATGAAGAAAGGGTAACTGGTGGCATCTGGGATAGGTAAGGGAAGTTTTACAAAAATGACATTCAAGAGGTGTCTTAACGGGCAAACCAAATGTTTGAATGACAAGAGAATTAAGGAGGCCAAGGAAGTAAGAGTCCACAACCTGGGTCAATGGATCAGGCAGCAAGATCACTGAACATAGAACCAAACACATCCTAGATTTGAATCAGTGATCTGTATGAAAATAAAAATTACTACTGTAATCTTATTACTGGCATTCCAGACAGAAGAAATCAGTGTCCAAAGGCATGGGGATATTAAAGAAGATGAGATATTCATAAAATAACAAGTAGCTGAGACTGGCTGACGTGAAAGATTTGTAAAAAAGCAATGCTAGGGATTTCATGAAAATCTGATTTATGATCCAATAAATAAAATATTTATCCCCAAATTAAAACCAAGTAGTTTAAAGTTTCACACTCCAGGTATGTACTTCCAGTAAGAGACCAAATTGTGTTTTTTCATCTTAGCATGTACCTTACACGCTTTCTTTAAAAAAAAAAAAGTTCTCTATTGGATTAAAGTTTTTCTTTAAAATGTAAGTATCACCCAAAAGCATTAAGCCCATGGTTAACCTTTAACTTACTTTTTAGAATTTACCCACTCATACAGAATTCCTCATAAAAACTCAATGGAGAACTGCTAGTAGTGGACACAGAAGTCATGCTGCCTGGGGTCAATCTCAACTCCAGATATAAATTAAAATGGGTTTTCTGAAGTTGTTTAAATCCTCTGCCTTAGTTTACTCATCTGTAAAAAAGGGGATAAAATAGTACCCATATGCACTTCATTAGGTTTTTGTGATGATTATATATATATAAAGTTCTTAAAAGAGTGCCTTGCCCATAGTAAGCATCATTTAAGTGTGGATTACACACCATACACCAAAATGCACATATCCACAAACACACAGATATACATTCACATACCAACATACACAATGAGAACTGTTATGTGGTTGTGGTGGAGAATGAGAAAGAAACCAAGAAAGAACATCACTGGTACTAGAAGCTGTGGCATACATGTGAAGTGCTGACTGAGAAGCTTTAGATGCCCAGACAGTTATTGCGTAAGGGTTAAGAGCTCAGATTACACAACTGAACAGGCTTGGGGTATTATGATCTCATTTCAGTACTTTCTAACAACATAGTTTGGGGCAAGTTACCTAATCCCTCTGCATCTCAGTTTCTTTATTAGTAAAATGAGGATAAAAATGGTACCTACCTCACTGGGTTGTTATAGTTAAATAAGGAAACACATGAAGTGCACTTAGCACAGACCTGGCACAATAGATGCACTAAATAAAAATGTCAGTGTTCAGAGGACCGACAAAAATCCTAAGAACCTGGAAGACAGAGAAGGGAGGATCCCAAACGTTTAAAAAAAGACGCCAAAAAATAGAGAGGAAATGAATTCTACTTTCATTATAAGACACTACCTAGGGTGTTGTTATAGTTTATAAGCTATGTCCTAGGCAATCATCTTGTACAGGCTGTCTTCTACTTTATTTTACAAGTGACCAACATCTCTGTCCTACAACTTTTTCAAAGTTCTGTAAAATAATGTTAACATTAACTAGCTAACATGTATTTAGAGATAGGTACTATTTAAAGTACTTTTTATGCATTATCATTTCACAGCAGTACTATGCGTTTCATGTATTATTCTATTTACACAGGTGATAATTCTAAAGCCTACGAAAAGTTTTTTAAAATGTCCAAAGTCACAAAGTCAAAGCTAATGTGGCAATTGGACTTCTGAGACACTATAAAGCTTTGAATCAAAGATCCAATTCTGACTAATGTGTATTGAACTAATGCAGCAACTATTCAATTAATATTTAAAACATTGTTTAATAAAACTTGAATTAAAAAAATTTCTAGGACTCAGTTAACCTGAATTATCGACTCCCTATCCTCATTCTGATTTTACCTAAGTGTACATACCCCCCTAGTATTAACTACTGCTCCCCATTTCATTGTAAATCATCTGTTTTGCTCATGCCATAATGCTCATGCCACATGGTCCTGTCAATTATTACTAAATTTAGAATATCCAAAATTAATGCTTTAAAACTTTTTAGAAAACACCTTTGAAAAAAATGAAGTCATTCTAGGTTTCCACAAAAATAACCAAAAATAAAATGAAAGTGCTGCCATGGGAAAACACTGTCAGATGCGATTACATGTGCTATCTGGGCAAGCCAAAGCAGATAGAGCCTGGAAGCAGTCTGTTTCCTGAGCCTGTCCTATAAATTGTTAAACCACTCAAGTAGAACTATGATATACTTCATTTCTTAGGCATGTTCCTTTGCTATTTTAAGTAACTTAAATGATGAAGGAGGCTATAAGTTACAGTTTGATGAAAAGCACATTTATCTGCTACGTTATTATATCTTAAGTACAGTACAGCTTTACAGTTTATCAAAAATGAAGGGATATCTCCTAGGACTTTCTAAACTGTATTCTTATCAAGTCTTGTGTTAGAAGTAGACGGCCATTTTTCATAAATGTGACCAGCACAATTCAGGCTTTTTACCTGTTCAGAAAACCTGAAATGAATCCCCTCCTACTATTTTATAGTCATATGGGCACATTCTATGAGAGAGGGATCAATCAGATCATGGCACTGGATAACAACAAAGGCTTTTTTCATGTGGGCTGATTTACTGACTACAGAAGCTTTTCCCTCCCAATACTACAAGCTTAAAAATCTTGTTAGCATTGTGTCTAGATCTCCAGTGATATATCAATTTAATAAATCTGAGGAGTTCAAGGATAACTCAGAGATAGAGGTTATCATCCTCCCCTTTACAATATTTGATATCATCAACCACTGGTTTTATTTCTTCACTGGTGATTTACTGACTAAAGAGGTTATTTTTAAGACTATAAGCTTAAGAACCAAGTATATATTGTTTCTAAACCTCCAACAAGGTATCAAGTCAATAAATCTGAGCAGTTCCTGGATAACTCAGGTAGTGGTGTCATTCTCCCCTCTATAATGCTTGCCATGTATATATTTCTTAAAATGCAAATTATAGTATTTTACCTTCTGTGATATTGTAAAATAAATATTTGGTCTTCACCCTTGTTTCCTGGCATGCAACCCCTAAAATCTTTAAAATATCCAAAGTGATGTCTTTTTGTGTGCTAATGATTGACTAAAAGCTGGTAGGCCCTAGGCAGCTTCAGTATGGGAGGTGATCACCAGAAAGACCAAAGAGAATTACAGGGTCAGGACTTTTAGCCTCATCCCCAAACCTCTAGGACAGGAGGGGGCCAAAGGTTGAGTAGATCACCAGTGGTCAACAGTTTAATCAACCAAGGCTTATCAATGAAGCCTCCACAAGTCTCAAAAGGACAGGGTTTGGGGAACTTCCATGTTGGGAGCCCGCCGTGGAGGCCTGCCTGAGCGTTAGGGATTCAGGCAGGCTGCGGACCCTGAGACCGCTCGGAGGAGTTCAGGAGCTGAAGGCCCATTCCCTTTTCCCTTCTTTGCTGTTTTGGCACGTTCCACTAGCAGGGACTTTGATGATCTAAGCATGAAGTTCTGAGAGTACAACAAGCATGGCTTACTTTAGGAGTCCATTGTTCCCGTTTCTCACAGACTGCGGTTTTGGCTTTAAACTTAACATAATTCAAACTCAGGTCACAATTGGGAGCCTTTAATACGGTACAAGCTTCTTTTAAGATTTAACAGTATATTTGTAGAAATTAGTATATACATACAAAGTGCTGTTTCAACCTTAATAATATAGATAAATATCTAGAGCTACCAGAAACGGTCCAGCACAAACTTTGGGCTGGGCCACATTCCTAAAAGGTCCAGCACGAACCTTGGGCTAGGCCACATTCCTAAGGGTCCAGCGCGTACTTTGGACTGGGCTGCCTTCTTTTAAACCGATTTTTAGCTACAGTTAGTATAGAGTTTTTTCTACTTATTATAGAAATTGAATTTATTTTACTCATAGAAAGTATTGTAGAATAGGTTATGCTACGTCAGTGAATTATGTCAGTTCAGGCATGATCAAACATGATATTTTGAGGTTTAATAAGAATACAGATAACTTTAGACATTACATTGTTTCCATATTCTACATTTGCGGTTTTGGCTTTAATACAATTCCCAGTTTATACTTGGGTTTTATTTTTTAGAAGCTTTATTGCTGATGATCAGGATTAGGAATTAGAAACTTTTATAAAAGCTAAAATAGATTTACAGGATTTCGGAACAGCCATTTTGTTAAGAGATTGTAATCAATTGTTCCCAGAAATGGTCCGGCATGATCTTTTGACTGAGCCACATTCCTTAGGAATTGGTTTGGGCTATAATTAAGAGTTTCTATAGTGTAGGTAGAATTAGCGTAAAATAGAGAGGAATTGGGATTTAGGTTGGTTATTAGGTGTTGCGTATGTATAGGTTTTAAAAGTTATTGATTATTAGAATATTATGATACTAGAATTGTTGTATTGCTTTTGAGAAATATTAGCCAAGCATGAGGAACAGTGAGATAGTTTTGGGATCCTCATTCCTCATGCTTGGGGAAACACCTGGTGGGTGGGGGATGCCCCCTCATCCACCTGGCTCTATGTTCATGTAAATGTCTTGTGATTTAATTGGGATTGCCCCTCCTCTTACTCCAGGAAACACCTGGTGGGTGAGGGATGCCCCTCATTCACCTGGCTTTGTGTTCATGTAGAAGTTTTGTGATTTAATTGAGATTGTCCTTCCTCATGCCTGAGGAAACACCTGGTGGGGGGGGCGCCCCCTCCTGCACCTGGCTTGTGTTCACATGGAAAACTTGTAAGACTGCCTGTGTAAAATCTGGGGATAAATACCCGCTGTAAGTTTCAATAAATGGCTTCTGCTCAATCCGTTGAACAGATGTCCACTTTCCTTCTCTCTCTTTATATCTATCCCTCCAGAATAATCGTCGACGCCATCACACCTTCCAAGGGACCTCCTATATCTCTTTTCGGGGGCTGGCCCCCCAAACTTCCACATAGCTGAACACATGGAGATCTCTTCATCTGTATCTTTTGTAATACCCTTCATTGTAAACCATTAAGTGTGTTTCCCTGAGTTGTTAGCTGCTCTAGCAAATTAATCAAACCCAAAGAAGGTGAAGGGCCACCGCCAAGCCACAAGTAAAGCCACATCCCCTCCCTTTCCTGGAAACAGTGACCCGGTAAACTAAAATGGTGATTGAAACGGTGCCTTCCTTTGTTCTCCCTCCGCACCCCTTCCCGTGCCCACGAAAAACCCACCAACCTGGATGGAGCTCTGCCAGCCGACTAACAATCGACTGACAGGTCGCCCTAAGCCCCCATATAAAGGCTGGAGTGCCCTTGCTTCAGCACTACAGTCTGACCGTCAGGTCCTGTAGCCACCGCGTTCGACCCATTAAATCTCTTGGCCTTAATGGGTGTTGAGTCTCACTGTGTGCCACTGTCTTTCATTGGTGCCATGACTCGGATCAGGTTCCTCTCGCCGTCAGGGGAGACCCTGTTCCGGCGCCAGGAGGACTCACCCCTTAAGGCCTTCGCCCACTTCCTTGAACGCCAGCACTGCATCCATCACCGGCCCCCGGATTGGTAAGTGCCCCTAATTGGAAAACCTAAAACCTTGCCCAGGATAACCGGAGGAAACTGACTGTTGATCG